TTAACGCCAAAAATGGAGGAGAAGTGACTTTTGGTGATGATTCAAAAGGTCACATTGAAGGTATTGGTACTATTGGTAATATCTCTTCCATACAAATTAAGAATGTTTTATATGTGAATGGATTAAAGCATAATCTATTAAGTATTAGTCAATTTTGTGATAAGGGATTCAATGTCATGTTTGATATTAATGGTTGTAAAGTCATTGACATTACATCTAATCAGATTATGCTTGTTGGTCATAGAATAGGAAACATATACATGGTGCATTTAGATTCTATTGATATGACTAATTTGTGCCTAGTTGCTAAGGATGAACATGATAGTTGGTTATGGCATATGAGACTAGGACATGCTAGTATGAGTGTTTTGCAACGACTAATTCAAGGTGATTTAGTTCGAGGGTTGCCTAAGCTTAAATTTGATAATGATAAAATCTGTGATGCTTGTGCTAAAGGAAAACAAAAGCGAATTTCTTTTAAATCCATTAATGACGTATCAACTAGTAGAGTATTACAATTGATCCATATAGATCTTTTTGGGCCAAGTAGGACTACTAGCTTGGGTGGAAAACAATATGCATTTGTCTTGGTAGATGACTATTCTAGATATACTTGGGTTCTATTTTTAAGTACTAAGATGAAGCATTAGAACAATTCATCACGTTTTCAAAAGTAATCCAAAATGAAAAAGGTTACTCTATAACTAGTGTTAGGAGTGATCATGGAACTGAATTTGAAAATCTTGGATTTACTGAATTTTGTAACTCTAACAGTATTAGCCATAATTTTTCAGCATCTAGAACCCCTCAACAAAATGGAGTTGTTGAGAGGAAAAATTAAACTTTAGAAGAAATGGCTAGAACCATGCTTTGTGAAAATAATTTGCCAAAATATTTTTGGGCGGAAGCCACAAATACCGCTTGTTATGTTATAAATCGAGTAATGATTAGGCCAATTTTAAAGAAAACTTCATATGAAATTTTAAAAAATAAAAAGCCTAACATTAGCTATTTTCATCCTTTTGGATGTAAATGTTTTGTTTTAAACAACGGTAAAGAGAACCTTGGCAAATTTGATGCTAAAAGTGATGAAGGAATTTTTCTGGGTTATTCCTTAAATTCTAAAGCTTATCGAGTATTTAATAAAAGAACTTTAGTTGTAGAAGAGTCTATACATGTTGTTTTCGATGATAATCCTCTTCTGAGGAAGGATTCTTGTGTGAATGATGATGTAGGTGTTATAAATACAAATGACGTTAGACATGACGTTGGAGAACCATCATCAAAGGAAGAAACGAAAAATGGGGGAACTCATGATCCTCTTGAGAATCCAACCATTGAAGAAAGGGAAGTATCTTATCCAAGAGAGTAAAACTATGTCAAGGATGGTGAAATTATAGGTGATCCATCCAAAGGGGTAACAAATCGATCTTCTCTTAGAAATATTTGTAATTATGTTGCATTTATCTCATTCATAGAGCCTAAGAATATTAAAGAAGCATTAAATGATGAACATTGGATTATGGCTATGCAAGAAGAGTTAAATCAATTTGAGAGAAGTAAAGTATGGACATTAGTTGAAAGGCCTAGTAATAAATCTACTGTAGGTACTAGATGGGTATTTAGGAATAAGCTTGATGAGAGTGGTAATATAGTGAGAAACAAGGCTAGACTTGTTGCTCAAGGGTATACTCAAGAAGAGGGCATAGACTATGATGAAACATATGTTCCCATAGCTAGGATGGAAGCAATTAGAATGTTATTAGCATTTGCATGTTTTCATGAATTTAAATTATATCAAATGGATGTTAAAAGTGCATTATTAAATGGGTTTATAAAGGAAGAAGTGTATGTGGAACAACCTCCAGGTTTTGAAGATTCAAAATTTCCGGACCATGTTCTTAAATTGACAAAAGCTCTTTATGGTTTAAAAACAAGCTCCTAGAGCTTGGTATAAAAGATTGTCAATTTTTTAATTGAAAAAGGTTTTTCAAAAGGGAATGTTGACACTACATTGTTTTTAAAGCATAAAGGTAAAGATTTATTAGTAGTTCAAATTTATGTTGATGATATAATATTTGGTTCTACTAATGATGTTCTTTGCCAAGAATTTTCTAAGCTAATGCAAAGTGAGTTTGAGATGAGCATGATGGGGCAGCTCTCATTTTTCTTGGGACTCCAAATCAAGCAAAGAAAAGATGACATATTCATCAATCAAGCTAAGTACGTCAAAGATATACTCAAGAAGTTTGGACTGGAAAATGGGAAACCTCATGACACTCCAATGAGCTCTTCAACAAAGCTTGACTTAGATGAAGGAGGTAAATGTGTAGATATTAAATTATATATGTCAATGATTGGATCTCTACTTTATCTAACTGCAAGTAGACCAGACATTATGTTTAGTGTTTGCTTATGTGTTAGATTTCAATCATGCCCTAAGGAATCACATTTACTAGCTGTTAAGAGAATCTTTAGATACCTTAAAGACACTCCTAGTTTAGGACTTTGGTATCCTAGAGACTCTAGCTTTAGCTTGCATGCTTTTTCTGATGCGGATTATGAAGGATGCAAATTAGATAGGAAAAGCACCTCCGGTACTTGCCAATTCCTTGGAAATATGCTGATTTTTTGGTTTTCAAAGAAACAAAATTGTGTTGCATTATCTGCTACTGAAGCCGAATACATTTCAGCTGGGTAGTTGTTGTGCACAAGTTTTATGGATGAAACAACAACTTTTTGATTATGGAATTGAAGTTGGTACCATTCCTATCAAGTGTGACAATATTAGTGCTATTTGTCTCACTAAAAATCCCATCCAACACTCTAGAACTAAGCACATTGAAATAAGACATCATGTAACATCCTCAATACCGGGTTAGTGACTAAATTGAAAAGTTTCAAATTTTGGTGATTAAAATAGAATGAATGAATAGTATAAAGATATATATGTAAATGATTGTGTAGGATTGAATTGAAAGGAAGTAGGAATGGAAGGGCAAAAGAGTCATTGCAAGGATCAATTAATTAAACAAGGGATAAGGATATATATATGAATACAAGTGGGTTGAAAAGGAGAGAACCAAAGGCTTCCAGACTTATCTTCTTCTTCTTTCTTCCTTGTACGCGTGAACCAAAGCAAAGGTAAGATTTCTGATTATTGAGTTTCTTGTTAAATTTAATATTGGGTTTTGATTATTAGATGATAACTAAGCTTAAGTAAAGCTTAAGTTATCTTAACATCAAAGGATGATGGAGTTAGGAGAGATTTAAGATGTGAAGTTCTTAAATGAAATCTTGGATTAGAGTTTATAACTAGAATTGAAAGTTAAATTTGACTTGTCATCAATCTAGTTAAGACATACGAAGTATTAAAAGTGGAATTCAAACATGTTGAAAATCGATGTAATTATTGAATTACATATGAAGGATAGGATTTGGAGGTTTAAGATGAAATAAATGAGTATAAATTGGTTTAAGGATGTGTACTAGAGTTAAGAATGAAAAAGGGGATTAAACATGAAGGATTTAATCCAAATGAATGAACTTTCGGGTTCAAAAAGAGGATTCTGGGCAAAGTGCACCTATGCACATTCATGGTGCATCGATGCATCAAGGTTAAAACCCAGAAATTATTTGAATGTGCACCGATGCATTGGTAGTGCATCGATGCACTCTTTTAAAATAAAGACATCGAATGCAATTCATGCATCGATGCATAAGTAGTGCATCGATGCATCCCATTAATAATGAAACATCGAATGCAATTGGTACATCGATGCATAAGGAGTGCATCGATGCATCCCAGCAATAATACTACATCGAATACCTTTTATGCATCGATGCATCAGTAGTGCATCGATGCATACCTTCATTAAAAGATGAAATTGACTTTTCTCTTAGTCTAAAGAGTGAATCATTAGAGTATATTAGTTATAATACTGATATAGATCCATGTGCGATTATGTAGATACTAAAAGTAAGCTTATTCCGGAACGATCAAAGGATTAGAATCGAAACAAAGCAAAGCTAAGGTGAGTGCATACTAGATGTATATTATAATGGAATAAGACTTGTGATAAGTCTAATCCCTATGTTGATTTTTATAATACAATAGTGGTGAACATGCATACATGATAATTATTGTAATACATGCATAAGACATGTATATGTTCATGTGATATGATATGTGATATGACATGTGATATGAGAACACGATATGAAGTGATATGAGATACATGATCACAAGAGAAATGAGATGAGTACATGAACATATGAAAAATAAGAATAATGCCCATAGTATACGATATGAGAACTATAGGTGTAGTTGGCATGCCAATAGTCGAGGGTATAATAGTCCTTCGGGATGTAGTCCTTCGGGATGTAGTCCTTCGGGATGTAATGGTCCTACGTTGACATAGATAATAGTCCTACGGGATGAATACTGAACTAAGGTTCGGTGCCCCATGAGGGAATTGATACGAGCTGTGGTGACAGTATTAGTGCACAACCTCAATGTACTCACATACCTCTATTCTCAATAATATACATGGGCAATGCAATTGAAATACCGATTTACAGTGAAAGTGATACAAGAAGGTAAGTTTCGTATGTGCATTATATGATTTTATATGTTATCATGTGATAAATAAATGCACATTGAAATGTCATGATCCAATGGTAAGTATGAACATTCATAAGTTTATCGTTGCATATTCATTTATTGCCTCACTAAGTCTATGACTTAGCGTGTAAGTGATTTACACGTAGGTACCAAGAATCAGGAAGAGTGGAAATAGAAGTAGCACATGCAACAATACTACTAAGAGATCAGATCAGAAGTAAATTGACAAAGTATGTACTTGATTATGTATAGAGTGTTGGTATGTAATAAGTGTTAATTACAAATACTCTGATCGATTTTGTATTTTATGGTCTTATGTAAATTAATGTATTTCGTTTTAATGAAAGTTTTAAAAATTCCCGGGATTTTCTGTAAGAGTCAAAGATTTGAAAAGTCAATGTGACACATCGGACTTGTATTCGGGTCGGATATGAGTTAAGGGTGTTACATTTAATGGTATCAGAGCTACGGTTTAGTCGATTCTCGGCATAAACTGAAGTCTAGAGTGTCTTATAAGGTATACATGCCAACAAATAGTGGAAACTTCTAATATGATGGAATAGTAAGTATGCTGTTTTGCTAATAGAACTATATGGTTGTATTTTTATAGATGTCCGGACAAGGTAGATCTAGAAATGAAGCGGGAGACGATATACCTGCTGAAAGCAGTAATTCACCTGCCCCGGCCAGGCAGAGTGAAGAACATACATCCTCTGGAATGCCTGTCAATGATCAAGATATATTCTTTAGAACGTTAGAAGCGGTATTGACGCGTTTCCAACCTCCTGTTATTTCAACTCCAAAAATAAATGTTGCGAAAGAGTTGAAGGGATTAGGAGCTCCAGAGTTTAAAGGGGAAGCTAATGAAGGTCCTGTTACTGCGGACCTTTGGCTTAATGACGTGAAGGTCATGCTTACGGGACTTCATTGTTCCGATGCTGAGAAGCTAGATGGAGTAATTTCCTTGTTGAGAGGACAAGCAAGGATCTGGTGGACTAATGTTACATTGAGGATGACTAACGTCCAAGTAACTTGGTCATTGTTTTTAGAAGAATTCAAACATAAGTACATCGGAGATCAATTTGTTCGTCAAATGAAGCAAGAGTTCATGAATCTGAAACAATGGAATCACACTGTATATGAGTACGAGTGTGAATTCAATAAGTTAAGTCGCTTTGCTGCCGAGCTTGTTCCTACTGAGAAGGATGCTTGTGAGTGGTTCGTAGAGGGATTACGTCCTCGGTTGAAGGAGATGTTGATTGTATTAAATCTATCCTCATTTCAAGAGGTAGTCAATCGTGCCAAAGCTTTGGAAAGAGCTCAGAATGAGAGATTTGAAAATTCAAGGACTCAAACAGTCAAGAGAACAGGTGCTTCTTCGAGTTCCGCACCATCAAAAAGAGGTAGAGATGCTGGTTCTCGACCTCAAGCTAAATCGGAGTCAGTGGTATCCTCAGCTAGAGGATCAAATCCGATGAGAGGCAAACAAACTCAATCAGCAGGATCGGGAGCTGGGAGAACTAATCAGAGTCAAGCCAGACAATGTCCGCATTGTGGAAAGAATCATTTAGGGGTATGCCAGATGATTTCTGGAGTCTGCTTTAGATGTGGAGACGCCGGACACTTCGTTCGAGACTGTCCAATGTCAACTAGTGAACCTGTACAGCCTGAGAGGTCTGTTTCGGTAACCCAGAGGGGAAGAGGTAGAGGCAGAGGAAGAAGTCAGTCAGAGTCCTCTGCTCTACAAGAGATACACTCCACTGCTCAGGTGTACAACCTCAAGACCAATGATGATTGTGATGACCCAGATATTATAACAGGTACCTTTCTATTGTTTGACAAAGGTGTTATTGTATTGATTGATCCCGGGTCTACATATTCATACATTACTAGTAAGTTAGTGAAAGAATTGAACATTCCGTTAGAAATTACTAGCAAGGAGGTGATAGTGACGAATCCATTAGGGCACAGTGCCCGAGTAAATATGGTGAGCCGAGGGTGTCCCATACGGATTCAGGGAATAGAATTCCCTGCTAATCTGATGGAATTACCTTTTGATGAATTCGAAGTGATATTGGGTATGGATTAGTTATATCGTTATTACGCTGATGTCGATTGTAGATTGAAAAGAGTGACGTTGAGAAGTTCCGAAGGAGTAGAAATTATTGTATTTAGTGAAAGATGGAATCCGTTAACAAATGTGATTTCAGTGATGACTGCAAAGAAGTTACTGCTACAGGGATGTCAAGGGTTTATAGCTTATGTACTGGATGTTAGAACCAAGGAGAAAGGGATTGAAGGGATTCCTATAGTCAGAGAGTTTCTCGATGTATTTCCTGCAGAGTTGCCAGGTTTACCTCCTGACCGAGAGGTAGAATTTCAGATTGAGATAATACCGGGAACAGCGTCCATTGCAATGGCACCATACAGAATGGCTCCAAAAGAATTGCAAGAATTAAAGATTCAATTAAAGGAGCTATCAGACAAAGGGTTTATTAGACCAAGTGTATCACCTTGGGGAGCTCCAGTTTTATTTGTTAAGAAGAAAGATGGATCCATGCGTCTTTGTATTGATTACAGACAACTCAATAAAGTAACCATCAAGAACAAGTATCCACTTCCCCGAATCGACGATTTATTTGATCAATTAAAGGAGGCTTCAGTGTTCTCAAAAATTGATTTACGTTCGGGTTATCATCAATTAAAGATTCAAGAAAAAGACATTTCAAAAACGGCGTTTAGAACAAGATATTGTCACTATGAATTTATCGTGATGCCGTTTGGAGTTACGAATGCACCAGCTGCTTTTATGGATTTAATGAACAGAATTTTCCAACCGTATTTGGATCAGTTTGCTGTGGTGTTCATTGATGATATTTTAATATATTCAAAGTCAGAGGAAGAGCATAGTTCGCATTTGAGGATTGTCTTACAGATATTACGAGATAAAAAGCTTTATGCTAAATTTTCTAAATGTGAATTCTGGTTGAATGAAGTGGCATTCCTTGGACATGTAATTTCGGCAGAAGGAGTTCGAGTGGATCCCCAAAAGATTAAAGCTATTCTGGAGTGGGAAGTTCCAAAGAATATATCGGAAGTTAGAAGTTTTCTGGGGTTAGCTGGTTATTATCGAAGGTTTGTTAAAAACTTTTTGATTATAGCATTACCCCTGACTAAATTGTTGAAAAAGGAAATAAAATTTGTTTGGACTCAAGAATGTCAAGAGAGTTTTGAAAAGTTAAAGAAGATTCTTACAGAAGCTCCAGTGTTAGTTCAACCTGAGTCTGGCAAGGATTTTGTAGTGTATAGTGATGCGTCTCATAATGGCTTGGGATGCGTGTTAATGCAAGAAGGCAAGGTGGTGGCCTACGCTTCGAGGCAATTAAAACCTCATTAGAAGAATTATCCGACACACGATTTGGAGATGGCTGCAGTAGTGTTCGCTCTAAAAATATGGCGTCACTACTTGTATGGTGAAAAGTGCTACTTGTATACGGATCACAAGAGTTTAAAGTACTTGATGACTCAGAAAGAGTTGAATCTAAGACAAAGAAGGTGGGTGGAATTTCTCAAAGATTATGATGTGGTGATTGATTTCCATCCTGGAAAGGCAAATGTGGTAGCTGATGCCTTGAGTCGAAAGACGTTTGCAGCTTTGCGAGCTCTGGATGCTAGATTATCGTTAAGAGGAGATGGTGCAATTTGTGCAGAACTGACTGTCAAGCCAGTATGGCTAAATCGAATTAAAGAATTGCAAGTTAAAGATGAAAAGTGTTTAAAGAGGATATAACAGATAAAGAATGGAGAGGGTATGGATTATGAGATTAAGTCTGACGAGAACTTGTATTATCGAGAAAGATTAGTAATTCCAGATGATGATGAATTAAAGAAGGAATTATTGACGGAAGCTCATTGTAGCCCATTGACAATGCATCCAGGAGGGAACAAAATGTATATGGATCTCAAGAGTCGATATTGGTGGCCGAGAATAAAGAAAGACATTACGGAATTTGTATCAAAGTGTTTGACTTGTCAACAAGTCAAAGCTGAGCATCAAGTTCCGTCAGGATTGTTACAACCAATTTCAATTCTTCAATGGAAATGGGAAAACATAACGATGGATTTTGTGACGGGTTTGCCTTTAACTCAGAACAAAAAGGATTCAATCTGGGTAATCGTGGATAGATTGACTAAGTCAGCCCATTTTATTCCAGTACGAACTGATTTCTCCATGGATAGGTATGCTGAATTGTATATAAGAGAGATTATACGTTTGCATGGTATACCTATTTCCATAGTTTCTGATCGGGATCCTAGATTCACATCACGGTTTTGGAAGTCATTACATGGAGCATTGGGAACTCGGTTAAATTTCAGTACATCGTTTCATCCTCAAATTGATGGTCAATCCGAGCGAACTATCCAAATTCTGGAGGATATGCTTAGAGCGAGTGTCATTGAATTCAAAGGATCATGGGAAAAATATTTACCACTTGCTGAATTTGCATACAACAATAGTTATCAGTCAAGCATCAAAATGGCTCCCTATGAAGCTCTTTACGGAAGAAAATGTCGTACGCCCTTGAACTGGTATGAACTTAAGGATCGAGAAGTTATTGGTCCTGAGTTGATTCAGAATACGGAAGAGAAAGTTCAAGTAATTCAGAATAATCTAAAAGCTGCAGCTGATAGACATAAATCGTATGCCGATTTAAAAATGAAAGAAATTGAATTTCAAGTCAGAGATAAAGTGTTCTTGAAAGTGTCTCCGTGGAAGAAAATATTGAGGTTTGGACGTAAAAGAAAGTTGAGTCCTCGGTTCATTGGACCTTATGAGATTACTAGGAGGGTAGGATCAGTAGCATATCAGCTAGTTTTGCCACCTGAAATGGAAAAGATACACAATGTTTTTCATGTCTCAATGCTTAGGAAATATAGATCTGATCCATCTCACGTTGTGACTACTGAAGAAATTGAGATTCGACTAGATTTAACTTATGAGGAAGAACCTGTTCAAATATTAGCTCATGAAGTCAAGCAATTAAGGAACAAGACTATTCCATTGGTTAAAGTCTTGTGGAGAAATCACAAAGTAGAGGAAGCAACATGGGAACGTGAAGAGGACATGAGGATTAAGTATCCCTACCTCTTTACATAATGAAAATTCAAGGACGAATTTTCTTAAGGGGGAGAGAATTGTAACATCCTCAATACCGGGTTAGTGACTAAATTGAAAAGTTTTAAATTTTGGTGATTAAAATAGAATGAATGAATAGTATAAAGATATATATGTAAATGATTGTGTAGGATTGAATTGAAAGGAAGTAGGAATGGAAGGGCAAAAGAGTCATTGCAAGGATCAATTAATTAAACAAGGGATAAGGATATATATGAATACAAGTGGGTTGAAAAG